ATGCTAGCTCATCCTCACATCAGTTTGGTTCCTTTATTAATTATCAAGATATGTTCTAGGGACAATCGGGATTACTAGTTACCCATACTGTCTAAGGATTTACAGATCAACAAATAGTATAAAGAGCATCTATTTACATCTTACCCAACCAGAATAGGGGAACTATATTGCCATCTAGTATAGAATTACTCTTAATTCTTAACAAAGTTGAGAGGGGTAGATGCATACTACTAAACTAATAGGTCACAACTAATGCTTCCTCCTAGCAAACTGGTACTTTCTAGGGGATACCACAGGACAGTCTGTTGCTACCCTTTTGGAGGAACTAATATGCCAAGAACTTGCCTAAGATGCTTAATATCACCGGTGTTGGGGATTTCTTATACAAGGTCTAAAGACCTTGTTAGCGCTGAAAAAAAATGAGAAAAGAAGAAAAAAAAAATATGTAGATCTATCATGTGTCTTGACTGAAACATGGTCTTGTGTCACAGAACTCCTGTCACCTATCTATTGAGAATCTGTTTTGTATTGGTCCTTATGTTTTTATGGATGATGGGGTCCGTCTTTGCGTACAGTCCATGGAGCTGACAGTTCATGGGCTTGTTTACTCTTCCTTGATGGCCAATGATTTAAAAGATTGCAATGTCTTGTATCCATCCGTACCAGCACATAACTTATAATAAACTCCAGGTTCTTATGGAGCTGAGGAAATGTATTCAGATATGTGAGATGGCCAATAATAGTTTGTTTATCAATCTTGTTCAACACGTTTTGTGTCGACCAATCAGAATCAATGGGATTTGTGCTACCTGAAATTTCAGGATCAAGCTGAGATAGGCAAAATTCCCCAAAAAGCCGTGAAAAGTGGTAGCTCTAAGAGAGCACACAGCCATTTGAAGAGTGGAAAATAAGTCCTTTGAATAGGAGAAACCCTTTCTCAGGTACTGATTTGTTCCTCCACTTCATCTGATAGGTGGCGAATACTTTACTGTTGGTCTTTCTCTCTTGAGGAACTTTCTTGCCATTGGTAGTCAAGGTGAGTGCTGGACTTTGCAGGCCACAAGAGTTCAGTATTGTTCATAGGAGATTGTAGACAATATGGGGAGAAGTAGTGAAGTCCTGAAGGAGGTTCCTTCAGGTTGATTTAAAGAAAGTATTAAGACTTTATTAGTATAGAAGTGACAAGACTTCTGTGAACATCTTTTTTGTGTGTGGTTAGAAGATCAGCAGAAAGAGTTGAGTATTTATATTATAAAAAAAATTTATAATTTTTATTATAATAATAATTTTTTTCATTTATTTTGATTCTATTATTTTGTTAAGAACTTAAATTAAAAATTTTTAATAGAATAAAAAAATAATTGTAGTAAATTGATATATTTTTATATAATTATAATAATATTAATTATAATATTAAATTTAATAAAAATAAGTTATGATTTTTTTTAAAAAAATATATTTTAGACTTTTATTTTTATCTTATTATTATTGAGCATTATATAAATAAATTATTTATTATAAATTTTATATATTATATTTTAATATTAATTTATTTTTTAAAAAAAATTTTATATATAATTTTTAAAATTTTATTATTGTTAAAAAATTTTTTTTATTAAATTCTTTTTTTTATTAAATTCTTTTTTTAAATAATTTTGATTAGTTATTAATATTTTTTTTTTTATTTCTTTAGTTAGGTTAGGTATATGTGTTTTATTAAACATTTGTATACTTTATATTTAAAATATTTTGTTAAAGTTAAATCTATACCTAATTTATTTGTCTCTGTTTTATGAATTTTTTAAAACTTTAAGTGCAATTTCAGGAGTGATTTATCATTCCATTAATAATTCAGGTAAAAATTTTTCCAGTTGCTAACTTTATAGTCTGCAGGTCATTATTGCAGATTGATCAATTGTTACTATAAATTATATGACAATTAATAAAAAATAAAAATATTTAATGATAAAATTTTTTTTAAAAAAATATAAATAATAGAATAAATATTAATAAATAATATTTATAAATTTATAAATTTATAATAAAAATATAATAAGTAAACTCAAATTTTTGAAAGTAATATATTTTTATTATAAATTTAGAATTATAATATTTTTTAAAAAATTTAAGTATATAAATTTTATAATTAATATTAAAATAAAAAGTTATTGCATTATTATTTTAAGGTTTAAAAGGTTTTTAAATTTTATTTGTTTTTATTTTTATATTTATTGTAAGTTACTTTTATATAATTGAAATATTTATACTTTATATATCTCAATATTTTGTTTATTTATTTTATATTTATTAAAAATTGATATCATATACTGTATATTATCTTAGATTAAATATATATTTTAATTTATATAGTATATTTTATAAAATATCTTTTAAGAAAAAATTAAAGATATTATATTTATTGAATTTTTAATATAGATATATTATTATTATTATTTAAACCAAAAATAAAAGTGAAAATTTAAATAAGTTTTTGATTATAAGTTTGGGATTTTTAAAGATTGCAATTTTTTTTATTAATTTTATTAAATTTGTTTTTAGATAAAATATTGAATCAATATTTTAAACTTTCTTTTTATATTATTATATAAAATCTTTTTTTATTTTGAATAATATTTATAATATATATGATTAGATTTAAATATATTTCTATATATTTGAAATTGTTTTTGTTTTAAATGTTAACATAATTCAAATTTTATATAAAATTTTTTTAATATTAGCAATATTAAATAGATTATTTTAAATAAATTCTTAATATGTTTTTTTTAGAAAGTTGAAATAGCAATATATTATTTAATGTAATGTTAATATTATAGTGATTTTAAAAAGTATCAAACATAATAATACAAATTGAATATTTTTGTTGGATTTGACCTTTTTCTATTTTATTGGATCTTTATTTTTGTAAAAAGATTATCTACTGTATATCAGATCATCATGTATTTGCTTTATCCTAGCTGGATGAAATTTTTTAATTCTAGAATTATACAGCATATACAGTACATTTAAATTTAAATGTAATAAATAAAATAAAATAAAATATTAGGATTACGATAAATATTTACTGTATAGTACCATTTTTATATTATCCATTTAATAACCAACAACGTTTTAAAACTTTAATGTGTACTAACAATTATTGCCGATAATCTACCGTACATACTCTATGACCTAACCTTGTCATTCATCCTAATTTAATAAGTTGATTTATGTTATATGAATAAAAAAGTCAGACGCCTAAGATTATCCTTTTTTATTTTCTAGAAAAAAAAAACCCCCCAAAATGAATTGATGTAGAGATACAGTATCAGATAAATTAGTTTATATTAGTCTTTGTTGATTAAAGTGTACAGTAGCATGCGGTAGATTGATTATACTTCATGATCAGTGCTCTAGAATTTTGTTTTTTCCTCCTTTCAACATAAAAAAAACATAATAAATAGTCTTATCGCAATATGCAAACAAAAGCAAATATGTCGTGAAAGTTATCAAATTATCGTCAATACAGTCCGAGTTTGATTCGAATGTGATTTATTTCCAAGAATATGCTATTGTTCAAAGAAGAAAAAAGGCAGTTTGTTACTTTCTAAGAGTCCCAGTTTGACGAACAGAAAAGTAAAGAAACGAAGGAAAGAATGTGTTATTGTTGTTTTTTGCTTTCCTCGTGTCCTTCAACTTCACACATTCACGATTACTTTGTAGCTTGTGTCAGCCCATCTATGTTATATCACAAATTAATAGTGCACATCACGCGCCCATAAGTCTAAATTCGGGTTCAACGACGACGTTCATATGACATTCTTTGAAGGTTGGATGATATCATTATAGAGTTACCGTACGTGTTATTAATCATCCGAACTTGCCTTATTATTTATGTACGTGCGTGTGATTTTGTGAAATGAGATGAAGTAAATTCTCTCCGCAAAAAAAAAAAAAAAAGGAAAAGGAAAAAAAATTGGGTCCGAGACAATGAACGAAAATTTGTCATCTCCAAGGTGTATTCGTCGTTTTACTCGGTCAAAGACTTTTTTTACGCTGAATGAAATTCTTCTAATCTTTCGTGCAATCAGTAATTTCAGGATGAATTCTTTATTTTTGTTACATATTTCTCAGAACTTATTGATCAGTGCAACAATAATTCATAGTTCATTGAAATGCACATGTAAGTTCATTATTAGACTTTTTAGCATTGTTGAATAATCTCTCCATAGTCAAATAAAGCCATTTTAACGCTTTATTAAGGACCTTTTAAGAAATTTATTTATACATTTAAAGAAGTTGAGTCGTAAAGGTTTTCTTGGCTGGACTATCACAATAAGCCAGCGTGTGTATTTTACTCACTTCATTTGGTCATGAAGGAGAAGGCATTTACCCTGGGCTCCGACATTGAGGTCGAAAAATAGGAATAAGCGAACCCACAGCATGAAAGTCATGACCAAATAAGAATCGTCCATTCACCTCAAGTGTAGCCACGCTTCATACAACCTGTGTAAAGAAAACCGCAACTGGGCGGTTACCTCCTCTGACACAAAACTAATAATATCATCTTCAGAATATTGCAATTGTCTGTTGGCAAAAAGAGGCTCGCCTTGCATCGGTCAATTTCATACAATACGAGATTCGGAAATCAATTTCATGTCTGGGTAAAATTGATAACTCTACATATTGTTGTTGTATGGTGTATTTGTTCAAAGTTGAACTTCAACTTTTGTAAATTCCAAATTTGTGAGAATTTTAATTGTTATTACCCATAATAGTATTGAAAGTAGCCCTTTTGTACACTTTTAAAACGGCAAATGCAGAATCTTATTGTTACATTATCTGATTTCGGTGATAAAACGTCAAAAAAAAAAATTTTTTTTTTTTTCACCGTTAATGGAATTAGAAAATGGTGAATGAGGTTAAATGAATGCTAATCTCTTTCTTTCTTTGATCGTTTTCAGAAGGCACATAACAATCAATTTCTGTCATTCATTCCTTCATTGATCAATTCCCCTAGCCTCTTTAATATAGGGAACTCGGCGAAGGGCTATTGATGGTCCGATTATGGTGTACGCTCGTAATAAGTGTACTGGGTGGTATTGCTCCGGATTCAGGTCCCACCAGACGTCTCCTGTGTCACCATTATTAGATAATCGTAAAAAAAAGGAAAAGGAAACCTCCCTAACCATTAAACACACAATTACATACGTAGTAATAAATTGATATATGGGGCTGTGTGTATCAAGACTAAGCCCCCCTAACTAATCTCTAATTTATCTACTATTCCACTAGGATTAGTGATTTTTTTTTTTTTTTAAGAAAAAAAAAAAAAAAAAAATAGGCGTTCAAATGGCGTGCGTAACAACTACTTTTTTTAACTGCTTATTTTCGGTATTTACAACTGCATCTGCAGTACATCATTCTGCATAATAACCGAGTGACGGGTATTATTTTGTAAATGAGGCGCCGAAATTTTTTTTTTTTTTTTTTTCAATTATAAATAGGTGCCCTAAGATCGCGGACTTCTTTTTCCACCATGTTCTTGCCCCTTTACATAATTGCTATTCCATATCGAAGGTACGAGTTATCTTCTATAATGACAAATCCGGTTTCTTGTTTATTGCTTCTCGATGGAAACTGGATTTACTAATCTAGCTGTGCGCATCTATTCCGATACAGTTCGTCTAGATAACCTTTTAAATTCTAAGTTATTCGACTTGGAGGTAAGAGTTTATCCTCGGATGCATATTATTCACGCACACTTGGAACAAACTTTGACCTATACATCCCTACCTTGAAATAGCTTATTTGTTTATCCACGTCGCTTCGATAGCACTCGTTTTTATCGATCCCGGAGTCAACACGTCGGCTGCCCGTCCCTCAGTCGCGTGTCGACTCTAGTATCCGTTGTCCCTAAACATCCAACAATACGCACGAATGCACCCAAATATAAACCTCACAACGTAAAGGGCAACTTTCGGGAAGAATTCGAGCTGTCATGATTCCTCAAAAAAATCCGCTATTGTTGGATACACATTGTAAATAATGTATAGACCTTTCTTTTATTTTTTTTCTTGTACATATATCTCTTCGTGTATGTAAATAATTGGATTAGAAAATCTTCGCTCCTGACCATACCTGGTCAAAAAAAAAAAATTTTTTTTTTCCTTCTTTTTTTCAAAAGTATTATTTATACACTTCTTAATTTAATATTTTCCGTTCAATTCATCGAAATTTGTCAAATTTGTTTTAATCAACCTAAGATTATTATGACCAAGATTATATTTACACTAGTCTCAGTATTTTCACACTTTTTTTAATCTACCCCGCGATGTCTCAACTCGCGAATCTATTACGTTCTGTTCTTGTTCTTTTTGTTCTTTTTCGATTCCTCTTCTGTTCCTTTTTTTTTATCTCCTTTTTTTTTTTTAAAAAAAAAAAACGCGCTTTTACAATACGGGATTTGCTGGAAATTTTGTCAAAAAACACATATGCTTTTCTTAGAACACTTAAGATTCACAATTAAGTTTAAACCACTTATATATGCAACGAAAGAAAAACAAAACAAAAAACAAAAAAAAAAAAAAAAAAAGAGAAAATTTTAAAATTAAAAAAAAAAATTCAAAAAACAATTCATTGGTTTATTGGTTTCTTCTTCGATTCACTCGATCATTAATTACTAGGTTCATTTCTTCAAAGCATTCCTTCGGACGACGACATTCATTATGCTTTACAATGTATATATTAAAAATGTTAAGGTCTTTGTTAATGGTCACTCTTTTTTGTATGCTCACATAACTTACGATTAAATAAAGAAGCAATTTTCTTAAAAATATTGTCATTATTGTTTTTATTGTTATAATTATTTCTGGCGTCAAATGGGTAGCCGCGTGTTTCTCGCTTGCATCTGGCGATCATTTCCCAGTCAGGAAAGACGCAAAGACTAATCATTCTTTCTAAAAGAGGAATCAATAGAGTTTTATGAAATACTTTAACCATGCGATACGAATGATAAAACGTGTTGGATTTCTCGGTGAAACGTTAAAAAAAACGATTCAACGGTCGATTTTAATACGCCCAATGGTCGTTTTCCCTTTTTAGCAAATAAAAGGAGATCAGCCGTGCCGTCATTTTTTAATTCGCTTCGCATTTGTTTTTGTGTTCCCATACCCCTGGGTGAGGTGTTTACGCAGTTGCATTAGATTCCCAGATATGAGCCAAACATGACCCGAGTGGATCAGCTGGAAAGATCATTTCCCGGACTTCCCCTCGGTGTAACGTAGTTCGAGAGCATGGTGTGATACCGTCAATGAAAAAGAATATAAACATTAGCTTTTGCTGCGGATTCACTAACTAAAAATCTGGGGATGGCTGTCATCGGAAACTTTAAAAGTGGTTATGCTGATACCGCCGCATAGTGTTACAAACTCCAAATTGTATTTCCCATATTTGTTCTGGAACCACCAAGCGCTCGTTGCACCATCTTCGCCATCAAACTCACTGTAATTTGTGCGGTCTACGCTTTTTTTTTTTTTTTCTTTTTTTTTTTGCCACGCACCAACGACAGTCAACGCTGGGACTCACCCCTGAGACTGCAACAGATTCTTGCAGTATCAGTCCGTATTCACTTCCAATGAAATCGTAGAATAAATTGTTCGTCCTCAATAAGCACTTTCATCATGCACGTATTGAATTACGTTATCAACCTCGACCTCTATAGTGTATCGATCATTAACCAACAGTTCAACTTCGATCGCGAAACTTGTTTTGATCAACCTCCGTTAAAAAAAAAAATTAAAATTAAAATTAAAAATCCCTGCAAGCTCATTGAATTTGACTTAAATGGTATTTATCTAAACCATTGTATAAAAGGTTTTGTTTATTTGAAGGCCCGAGAATATAATCGCGACCCAGTCCAATTTCGGTAACCCGAGCCAGTTCTGCACATCCATTTCTCCCATTCATGCGAACTTCGAACTAACCAAGCCAACTCGAGCTATTTTTGCGCGATCTCATGCTATTTTCGTGCAACCCAAGTCATTTTTCGCACAGTCAAACCTCTTACCATTCACGCTTCTATTTCAAGCTCGTACCACCAAAGCCTTTCATTATTAGTTATTTATTTTTTCTCAGTATCATTGGATTATCACATTCTTTTCTTTTAATGTATATAATATTTTTATTTAAAATACTGTCAAATTATATGGGTAATTATTTTTGAAAGTATTAAAAAGATTAATTAAAAATTTTCAGGGACCTTTTTTTGGATACATAATTTTTAATATTCTTTTTTATATCCCTTTTTATATTTAGTAATTGTTAATTCTTGATTATTAGTTATTAATTATTAATCCTTAATTATTAATTATTAATTATTAATTATTAATTATTAATTATAATCCTTGATTATTAATTATCAATTATTAATACTTGATTATTAATTATCAATTATTAATACTTGATTATTAATTAATCCTTGATTATTAATTAGTAATTGTTAATCCTTAATTATTAATCTTAATTAATTAATCAATTAATAATCAATTTAATCATTTAATTATTCAATTAATAATCATTTTAATCAAGATATTAATCAATTAATAATCACATTAATCATTTAATTAATCAATTATTAATTATTTTAATCAAAATATCAATCAATTAATTTTTATATAAATAAAAAAATTTTTTTAAAATCTTTACTTTTTTTATAATGCCTTTTATAAATCTTAAAAAAAAACTTTATTATTTGCTTCTATTTATTGTTTTTTATTACTAGCTATAGCTTTTGTCCCTTGCATCTATTGGATTCTATAGTGAGGTATTCTAGTTATTATTTTATATAATTTTTTTTTAAGTTTTTATAATTTGTTGTAATCAATCTTTTGGAAAGATTTCTATTCTAGTTTGAAACTATATTAAAATAATATTTTTGCTTGTTAGTTAAAGTATTTGATAGTTTCTTATTTACTTAGCTTTTTAATTAAGCAATTAATTTATATATCACTAGTCAAAATTATATTATTTAACTATTAAATTATTGCTGAATTTAACAAAATTAATAATAAAAAGATTAATGAATTATTTACAATTGCTATCACTTGACATAAAAAATATTGATAAAAAATCAGCAAAAAATTTAACACAAAATCTAACAATATTTTATCAAAAAAAAAAATTTGACATATTGTGACAAAATTTTTTTTTTGCATATTATAGTAAAAAATTTGGCAAAAAAATTGATACTGCAATAAAAATTTTGACAAAAAAATTGATATTGTAGCAAAAAAATTATTACAGCAAAAAATTGATATTGCGATAAAAAATTTGACAAAAAAATTGATACTGTGACAAAAATTTGGTAAAAAATTTATTGTGATAAAATTTCAACTCAACTCAAGAGAAGTAATAAAGAAGCAAAATTGATAAAACTAGTTACTAAAGATAGATCAAAACCAGAAAAAATAAAAGCAGAAATGAAGGTCTTAATAAAAACCATTTCTGATAAATATAAATTGAGAGTAGATGAAGTTTTTTTGAATAATGTAAATAAAAAAAAATTACAAAAGTTGATATCTGAATTAATAAAATCCATGGTTTTGCATTTTAATTCCTCATAAAAATAAGTAAACAAATAGTTAGGTACTTTATATTACTATTAGAAAGAAAGATATCAGAAGGCAAAAACTGAAAAACTAGAAACAGACAATTATCACTTGTATATAAATAGTTGATTAAATGAAATAAGATTAATAATATTTTGTATTTATACTACAAGTATTAATTTTTAATAAATAATTAAAAAAAAGATACAAAGAATTAAAAGCATACAATCACTTATTGAATAAATATCAAAGAAAGTTGTCAAATATTATAATAAATTAACTGATATAATTAAAGAAATAAAGGTTTATTTACTTGAAAAAAGTAAGACTAATCTGAAAAATTTCATCAAAAGAAAAATAAATGTATATTATTATAGTTGACATTTTAAAAAAGTATTTTTCAACAAAATATTTTATACCAAATAATTAAAATGATAATTATAATTACTTATAGTTAAAGAATTTGTTGAAATATTTAAATAAATATTTGAAATAAATTCAAGCGTTTCAACCAACTTGTAAATAATATCATAATAATTCATATTTCTTTAACATATCACTAGAAGATTTGCTGAATTGGACATACAGTTTGAAAGAGATTTCAGAATATAAACAAGAAAAAGAAATAAAAAAGAGTAAAAAATTGATAGTTAAATTCAAAAGACAAAAATAATTGAATATGAAAAATCATTAATGTATTCAGAGGATGAAAAACAAACTGGAGAAAATCCATAAATAAACAAAATTTGGGAGTAGTTAGATTAGAAGAAAAAAGTGAAAAATCTCAAAATATTTGACAAGTTAAAACCAATTGGAACTAGTTTTAAAAGAGTTAAGCCAAAATCTTTAAAGAAAAAAGAAAAGCAAGTGGAAGAAGAGAAAGAAAAAAGTGATAAATAATTTAATTAATTGATTTTATAATTTTTTAATAAATTCATAAAATTTATTAAACTTCCTGAATATTCATTCAATACTAAATTTATAACTTTTGCCAAATTTTTAGTCAAATTTTTTATCACAGTATCAATTTTTTCAGTGCTTTCTTAAACTCAGCAAACTTTCAAATTCTGATATATCGGTTGCTCTAAATTCTACAACTACTATAGAATCAAGTTCAAGTTCTATAGATTTGAGCTAATAAAATTTCTTTTTAAATCTTCTATTTATTTTTTTGCTATTCTAATTCTTCAAAAAACTTGTTATTAATATATTTAATTAAGTCTAATTGTTTACAAATTTGATATTTTTTCTTTCTAGTTTTTTTATATATGCATGTAATTCTTCATTTTTTAAATAAATTAGTTGATTAATAAAGGTAAATTTTAATAATTCAGCAATAATTTAATTTTAACTTTTTTAATGTTCCCCCTGGTTCGAGTTTTAGGTGACAATTCAACTTCCAATATTAATATTTATACAACTTCAAATATCAATATTTTAGGCAATGCAATAGATATTTTTCTTCTAAGCAATTCAGCTGTCATAGTAGGAATTAAAGATTTAGCATCAGATATTACTGAATGAACTGTTGTTATTTCTAATATAGTTGATACAAAAAAATTTTGTAATAGTAGGAAAAGATGTGAAAATTGTGAAGGTAAAGATAGCTATTCTTTATAAAAAGTACATCAGTTGATTTTTTTTATTCAGATATTTTAGACATCACTAAAATGAATTCAAAAAAGGGGAGGCAGGGACAAACGTCAAATGTCTCTTATTAGGAAACATTAAAAATTTTAAATTAATAACCATTAAAAAACTATCTACAATTGTTCCTCATTATTCAAATAATTGATTTATAATATTTATTGACTTTTATCTCTATTAAAATGAAGAGCCATAAATTTTGTCTTTCAAAAAGAGGCATAAGTGAAATTTTATATACTAAATACTTTAAGGATCCATCATTAGGTATTAACAAAAAAATATTAAATTAATAAAGGGATATTTAAATAAAATTATTTGTATTGTTTTAATACAATTTGAAACTATATACAATATTATACTATTATTCATTATATTATATTACAATTTAGAGTTATATATTATATTATACTATATATTATTTATCATATTATACTTGAATTATATTACAATTTCAAGCTATTTAATATATCAATCACAACTTTATCACTTGATTTTACTATTTATCAATTTTTAAAAATATCAAAAAAGTATTAAATTTTAGTTTTACTTAATAAAAGTTTATGAAAAAATCCCAAAAAATCAAAATTTATTTGTGACTAATAATGGGTTCCTAAGGTATTTAGTATATAAAATTTTACAAATCACTTATGTCCCTTTTTGAGGAACAAAATTCATAACTCTTTACTTTAATAGGATCAAAAGTCAGGAAATATTATAAATCAATAATTTAAATAATAAAGAACAATTGTAAATAGTATTTTTATAGACATTAATTTAAAAATTTTAATGTTTCCTAGTAAAAGTCATTTGACTTTTGTCCTTGCTTTTTTCTTTAGGGACCCATCTTTATTTATGACTATAGTAAATGCAATGAATCACTTGTTGACCTATGAATAAAATTTTTCTATAGATATTGAAAAACAAAAGGCAAACATTTAGCAAATGAAGAATTTATATTTCAGTATAGAACAAGTATTTTATCAAGTTAAATTATATCATTAAGCAATAATTAACAAAATCAAAGATTAAATAATGCAAGTTCTAAAAATGATAAATATGAAGTTGATAATAATGAAGAAATAAATAATATATTTGAAGATTATTTAGCTTCAAAATACAAATTTTTATCAAATTCTAGTAAATTTTCTAATAGTTATTTTATATGAATTTTGTTATAGATTATAAACTATAGAATTTGATTTAATTTATCAAATAATGTAATAGATATACTACTAAAATTTATGAAATTGGTGCTAATTGAAATTGATAATAAAGAATTTAAGCTCTTTTATATATCTTTGTATTTCACTAACAATATACTTGAATTGTTAGATCAGTTTATTAGTTTTGTGACATGTCAAGGATGTCACAAATTGTATAAACAGGATGATATTCTTGATTTTCAAAAAAAACAATTAACTATCAGTCATGAAATATGTTTATATTGAATTTCCTAATTAAGTAATAAAAAAAGAAAAACTTGTGATTCTTCACTATTTATACAATCAAAATTATTAAATGAAAATATAATTAATTAATCCAATTTAGTTATTTTATATTTTACTATTTGACGTCAATTGTCACAAATATATTAAAATTTGAAATTTGAATCTAATTTTTAAAATTGAATAGATGAATTAAGCATTGATAAACTTCTATATAATATCTATAATAGTGATATTTGAAAAATTTTTAAAGATAAAAACTCAGAAATATTTTTTAGTAAAGAGACAGCTGATTTGTATTTGAGATTGGTGATATTGACTGATTTCAACCATTCAATAATAAAGTGTATAGTATTGAAGTTATATATATA